GAAATGCTTCGTATAATGAAGCAAAATCCTTCGTAACACTATACATTCTGACAACGCCGTCATTTTCTTCGTTGTTTTGAAGGAAATGCTTCGTTGGCTATTAAGAGTGATTGCGAACGCTTATATTCTTTCGTGATACGAAGGTGTTCTGAACTACGCATGCGTCAAATTCACTTTAACTTAGCTTAAGTTTCATTGCTAGACATTTACAGTATATAAGCAGTTACGATGGCCTATACCCGCCCCTCTTGCATACTCGCGAACTTGCTTTTAAGAACAGTTTGATGCCTGCGCTGGTTCGGCGGTGTCAAGCTTTTTCATTCCACGGAAACGACGTACTGTACCTCTGGGGATGGTTGTGTTGGCAGCAATGTTGCAAAATCCACGAGTTAAATGGACGTACACTGTTGCGGACGCCACGTCAAGCACACTGGAGACCTGTTGACTTCGCGAAGGAACTGCTCTGACTACGGAGCGGCAGCGGCTCACAGCAGCAGCACAGCAGCGGCATGCGACGTGTGAGTCACACGGTGTGACGCAGGCTTGCCGGACTCCGCCGAGTAGAGAGCGCCCGAGTCGCGCGCCTTCGGGTCAGAGCGCGCCGAAGCCGGCAGCGCCCGTGGCGTATCTAGTTAAGCTGCGCTCTCGGGAGAGAGCGAGGGGACGAGAGCGCGAGAGGAGCGTGGCGAGAGCGGTAAAGTGGTGGGGGGGGTGCTCGGCGCATGCGCAGAACGATTCGTAACGACACTGGCTCAGCCAGCAGCGGTTCGCGTTCGCGCGCTTTTGCACTTGTTGGTCTGTGTCAAGGAATGGAAAGCTGCAAAGTTAAGTGATTGTGCGTTAAGATGGATAAGCGAAGTAAAGTCTCTTACGAATTGTGTGACGTTTCTTCTGGGGCGATATATATTATCCAAGTGAACCCAGATGAAGCCCGGGCTCTCGATTTCGGTAAGTAACTAACCTCTGCAAACACCTGTCACTCAACGAAATGCTGAGTATTCTTCATTGATGGCGTTTCATTTACTTTTTCCAGACAAGGAGAAGAGATTTAGGATTTTTAAAAAACCCTTTCAGTCAATGGAAAAAAACCTGACAAAGTAGGGGAAAGCCTCATTGAGGAGTCCCCCACGAAACCAAGTAAGTGCCATCCACTTCACAATTCTTCTGCTTTTTTCGTTGTCTTTTTTCTTCAATAGTTTGTTTGCAGATGAAGCTGCTGAACCGGCTAAAAAAAAATTGACTGTTGGGTTAGGGGAATGATGCTGCGCAGTGGGCTTTGCTTGATGAGTTAATGCCGTACAGGGCCCAACTGCGAGCCCAACGGTATGCAAGTGACATTTGGGCAGAAGTAGCCAATAAACTGAAAAGGTAAAATTTTACCTCAGCATTATTCTGCTGAGCAGGTTGCCGAAAAAGTGCGTCTCATGAAACGCTTTTTAAAATCTGTTCAAACTGGAAAAAGGAAAGGTGCATGGGACTTTACAGACCTCATGGAAACTGTATTTGAACGACCCATTGTAGAAAATGATAAAGGTGAAATTCAATTTCTTCAATGTGAATGTTCGTGCTTGTACCTGTAAGTAATTTGATGTCTTTCTTATTGTAGGGCCAGCTCAGTGTTCATTTGTTGGATCTTACAACAGCTATGTGAATGGTGAGACTTTCTCGTATCCTTCTTACTGGCCTTTTTTGATGGAGTTCATATTTTACCGTCTGCTTTATGTTCAGGTATGCAGCCTGGTGCCCATTCCTCCTTCAGAGGAAGTAAGTCGACACCTGAGGTTTCTCCAACCACTGGTAAGGGCCCTTTAATTTGCTAAATGTTACAAATATCATAAGCATGCATTATTTCATATTTCCTCCCACAGAGCATGGCAGCAGAACACAGGGGTAAACCCTTTCCATCCTCTGCAATGATGACTTCACTCAAGTGCCTCCAGAGAAATCACATGATGAAGAAGTGTTTGTCTCTCAGACACTGAAGAGTTCTTTCCTACTCAGGTTAAAATGGAAGCACCTGACCACAGTAAGTTTTGCTGAGTTCATATATTTCTGTGCACTATTACTTGCATTTCAATTACCTTTGAAAATGTGCATCTGTTGCGTACAGATTCCAATTATATTGATGAAGGAATTTCTGGAATTTCTGCACCTGAAACTCCTAACAACGATGTCGGAAGTCATCATGGGGAGAAAGAAGGAAACAATTTTATGGGTGAGTCACTTTGATGGAAAACCAACTTTTAAGTTTACTATTTAACATTCATCTTGTTGATATGCATGTGCAACTCTTGTTTGTAGATGGTACTGGCTGTGATGATGGAATTTCTGCTCTGGCATCCAGAAGTCTTTATGATGACTCGATGGTCCTTGAGCCTTTGGAAACAGTAACAAATGTGAAGATTGATGTCAGGATACCTAACAAATCTACTGGTGAGATTGATTCTAACAGGAGGCCAATTGCACTACGTGCTACATGTAACCAATTCATTTTTTTAATTTTTTTAAGGTCCCTGTCTGTTGAACACAGAAGGAAAGAGCTCAGAAGGAAAAGAATTTAGTTGTGATAAGGTCACTAAAGACGATCAGGAGATTAGAAACGCTATACGAGCAGCAGAACTTAGGCTACGAGCTACAGAGAGCCCAGTCAGAAGGGAGCTGTTTCATTCTAGCATTCAATCTTCAAGTGGTTTGTCACATTCTGATGAAGAAGTTATATGTCTGTCAGACACCGAAGAGTTCTTTCCTACTCAGATTAAAATGGAATCACCTGACCACAGTGAGTTTCGCTGAGTTCATTTATTTCTGTGCACTGTTATTGCATTTCAATTACCTTTGAAATTGTGCATCTGTTGCATACAGATTCCGATTATTTTGATGAAGGAATTTCTGCACCTGAAACTCCTAACTACAATGTCGGCAGTCATCATGGGGAGAAAGAAGGAAAAAATTTTTATGGGTGAGTCACTATGAGGGAAAAACCAACTTTTAAGTTCACTATTTAATGGTCATCTTGTTGATATGCATGTGCAACTCTTGTTTGTAGATTTTACTGACTGGGATGGTAGAATTTCTTCTCTGGGGCCTGGCAATCCTCATAATGATTCTGTGGACCACGAGGGTTCTGAAATGCGAATGAGCTTGAACGTTGCCAAAAAACAGCCAAATAAATCTATTGGTGAGATTCATTTCAAGTAGAAGCCATTCTTACTGCGTACCTTGTGTAAATTAATTCATTTTGTTCTTAAAGGTCCATGTCGCTTCACTCCTAAAGGGAGGAGCCCTCCCAAAGGGGAAATTTAAAGGAAAAGAAAAAATTTCAATCCACACTTGCATGTTCTCGTAAAGCTGCTTCCAGTTTTCCCGGGAAAATAGGGGAGCCTCCCAGGAAAATCTGACTTCCGGACCACGCACCCCGGGCAAGAAAAAATCTAGAACTGACGGTTTGTGTTAATTTACCCATACTATGATTTATTGACATCTGGGTTTTATTTGCGCACTGTTTGATGATAGCGTTATTTTCAGATGGATCTGTAGTAGTTCCTGCCACTCCAAAATCTTTAAAACGGAAGCCAGTTCAAAAGAACTTGGTGTGGCCCACCAATGTTGCAGAAGATTTTGTCAGTGAGTGTGTTAAGAAGAAGAATTACATGCAGATATTTCCTTATGTTCCACTCCATACTTGGAAGGACGTTGCCAAAGCACTTCATGCAAAGGGCCACATCAATATAAGTTGGGACCTCTGCAGAGCAAAGTATGAACAGATGCACAACTTCTTTGTAAACACTGCCTTAAAACTAGGGGGAATGATCGGGACAAGTAAATGGACTCATTTTGAACAATTCCTGAAAATTCATGACATACCCCCAGATGTTGATCTACCCCCAAATCTGGAAATATACAGTGTGGATCAAAAAAATAGAGTTTGCGGAGGTAAGAATTAGGCCTTTCCTATAATGTTTTCTCATTTTTTTTTATTTCTTTCTATGACTCATGAAAATGTTTTGTACTTGACAGTTCACAAACCCCCTTTTGGGGTGAATGCAACACCACTCTTCTTCTTGACTGTTACAAAATCATGAAGGATAAATTCACTGGTACCAAGAGTGGTGTGGGGACACTGTTTTGTATGCCCAAATGGCAAGTATTATGAATCAATTTGAAGGAGTGGATGTAACTGGGAAGCAATGTCACTCCCACATGGACTTCATGCGCAGCAAGTTCTTCGAAGAACATGATGGGACTCGGGGCACAGGTCAGGCTCCCAGCAAGTGGCAATATTTCAAACAAATGAAAGAAATTTTCGAGAAAGATGCAAATGTAGAAGCTCCATGTGTAGCATCCACTGCAGATGGTACTCTTTTTACACTGCCAGAGGTGAGGAGCAAGCACCTTCTGAAAGGAGTACCAGAACTCGGCCTCCATCAGCCAAAGTAGAGCCTAAAAAGAAGCAGCCACCAAAGAAAATCTACAAAAGCTGGACCCAAGAAGTTCAAGAAAGGCAAATTGAACAAAGGCAGGCCCTTGTCGACGAAGTAAGACTAATGAGGATCAGCTTTGAACAAAGGAGTGCGCAGCGTATGGAGATGTTGAAAGATCTTTTAAAGAAGTTTTGATGTTTGCAATTATTATTTTAGTCCTGAGTCCCTGTAGCAGGTACTAGATTTACAAAAGTTAACATGTTTTTTGTTTATTCTTTTATTGCTTGTTCAGTGTGATGCCATTACTCTACTATGAGAGGAATGTGAGAATGCGTATTGATAGCTTCCTGTTGAAGTTGTTTCACATACAACTGAAACAAATTAAACCAAAAGTTCTCTTAATTTATTACAAAATTTCATGTGATGTCTAGTCCTAGGCACTTATTTTGTTAGGTATTTTTTTCAAATATTAATACAGAAGTTCCTTTTTAAAATTATTTTTCTAATTTGATTCCCGTGATGTCCATTTGTAAGCACTTATCTTTCTTTAACAGCAGAGAAATTTTTTGTGAGTTTCTTAATGGTCTCAATTAGTTCCATAGATGAAAATGTAAATCCTTTAGTAGTAAAAAATTTTTATGTGATGTCTAGTCCTAGGCACTAATTTTTTTAAGTATTATTTTTTTGAATTGATATAAAATTTTTTTATTCTATAAATGTCATTCCTATGATGTCCACTTGTAAGCACTTATCTTTCTTTAACAGCAAAGAAATTTTTTGTGAGTTTTCTTGATGGTCTCAATTAGTTCCATAAATGAAAATATAAGTCCTTCTCGTTTTAAAAATTTTTATGTGATGTCTAGTCCTAGGCACTATTTTTGTTTAAATATTTTATTCATAAATGAATACAAGAGTTCCTTTTATTTTTTAAATGTAATTTCCCATGATGTCCACTTTAAGCACTTATCTTTTTGTTTCAGCAAAGAAATTTGTTGTGAGGTTTCTTCCAAATGCTATCTTAATTAGTTTCCAGAATGAAAATGTCAATCCTTCTTGTTTTTATAATTCATGTGATTTCTAGTTCAAGGTAGTAATTTAAGTATTATGGAACAACCTTTGTCCTTGAAATAGTTTTTTTAATTAAAATGATAACAATTAACCTTCAAACAGTTTTAGTTTATTTGATATTACATCAATGCCACTACCAAAGTACTAAGAAATATACCAACTCACAATTTCTTAGAAAAATTAGAATACTTAAAATTTAGTAACACAGTTTGTGCATGTGACTGAGATCATTGATGATGTTTAGGCATGCTGATTATGTAAGCGGTGCATAATCATGTTCCTCTTCTCGGCTCCTCTGTCTTCAGCAGCACGCAGTAATGCAGCAACTTCTTCAGCATCATCAAGATTTGGGTTGACAATGTCCTGTGGGTCGTCAGGATTGTTATCAAAATTCTCATTGCCTAATATTTCATGTGGACGAACAGGTCTCCTTAATTGTTCATCCTGAAATTAAAAATTACAGAGTTAAAATGTTCAATTGGGCAATGAACATAGACAGTTCAATAAATACTGTAACAAAGATTTACTTACATCAATCATGGCTGCACCATTTATAATGAGGAAGTTATGAATGACAAAACAAGCTGTAATGTGATCAACAGCTAGGGCTGGATCTCTGACATACAGGTACTTTAGTCTACGCCATTTTCCCTTCCCAAGGCCAAAGGGGTTTTCCACTCTGACCCGAGCTTGGGAAAGAGCCCTGTTGTATGTTTGTTGCTCTGGTGTAAGGTGTCCATTATTTGGAAAGGGAATCATCATCTGTGAAAACAAAAAGTGGTTACTTAGTTGGGACACTTAAAGTCACTGGCGAAAGTAACTTAAAAAGAAAAGTACTCACAAAGTCAGTAAGAGTGTACCCTCCATCACCAACTAGATTTTCATCATCTTCAATAATGCGGTCATCTCCTCTTTCTAACATTCGCCTGTGCAGAGCGCTTCGCCTGAAGACTCTCCGATCATTCATGGATCCAACTTCACCTGCATGAATTTCTCGAACCAACAGGTTGTTGTCCACTACACATTGCACATTAATACTGTGAAGATCATGTCTATTAACATAATTTGCAGGAGTTTCCAACGGTGCATTTATGGGCACATGAGTGCAGTCAATAGCTCCTATAACTCCAGGAAAACCTGTCGCCTTTCCCCAAGCATTTTTAATAACCTCTCGTTCCTCTCGAGAAGGCCAGACAATGTACCGCACAGACAACTCTCTTAGGGCCTCAATAATATATCTATAAAAGTAGTGCAGTGTCCCTGGAGTCACTCCAAATCTTAAGGCCACTGTGACGGTGGTCACGCGGGGACCGCCCAGCCGAAAAGTGCAAGCGGGCAGATGCCGGGAAGGTGGGGAAAACCGACTGGCGACCGTGCGGGGCTCGGCAGTCGGTGTGGGGCCTGCCAGCGGCAAAGCCCAAAACCAAGTGTCGGGAGTGCTGAGAGCTTGTACCAAGGTAACCGGACCCCTACTTTTTCTACAACCCTCACACCGAGTAACCCCCTGACCATCAGAGAGTACATCCCCGACAAGTGCTCTGGCCCACTAAATGCCCGTTTGGGGCCGGGACTTGTACATGGTGGAGGTGCTGAGGGTTTTAGTTTTAAGCCTCACTTGGGTGGGTACCACCGGCTCACTTTTGGTTAAGGAACGACCAGCGCCCCGTCTGGCCGGTCAGCGGGTCGTTTAGGTTTAAGGTTTTTGTTTTAGGCCCGCGCCGCGCTGTGTGTTCGCGAAAAACCGACAGGCCCGGGGGCTAAATTTGGGGATGTTTAGTTTTAGGCCCGCGCGCGCCTGTGTGTTCGCGAAAAGCCGACAGGCGGAGGCTAATTGGGCTGTTTTTGTTTTAGGCCCCCGCCGGCCTGTGTGTTCGCGAAAAGCCGACAGGCCGGAGGCTAATTGGGCATGTTTTAGTTTAGGCCCGCGCCGCGCCTGTGTGTTCGCGAAAAGCCGACAGGCCGGAGGCTAATTGGGCATGGGTTAGTTTAGGCCCGCGCCGCGCCTGTGTGTTCGCGAAAAGCCGACAGGCCGGAGGTAATGGGGATGGTTTAGTTTTAGGGCCCCCGCCGCGCCTTTTGTTCGCGAAAAGCCGACAGGCCGGAGGCTAATTGGGCATGTGTTAGTTTTAGGCCCGCGCCGCGCCTGTGTGTTCGCGAAAAGCCGACAGGCCGGAGGCTAATTGGGCATGGTTTAGTTTTTAGGCCCGCGCCGCGCCTGTGTGTTCGCGAAAAGCCGACAGGCCGGAGGCTAATTGGGCACGTTTTAGTTTTTAGGCCCGCGCCGCGCCTGTGTGTTCGCGAAAAGCCGACAGGCCGGAGGCTAATTGGGCACGTTTTAGTTTTTAGGCCCGCGCCGCGCCTGTGTGTTCGCGAAAAGCCGACAGGCCGGAGGCTAATTGGGCAGGTTTTAGGTTAAGCCGCACCGAGTCGTGCCCTAGTCTTAGTCCTAGTTTTAGCCCTAGTCTAAGTTTTCAGTCTTAGTAATAGTCTTAGTCATCCCTAGTTTTAATTTAGTCGATGTTTCCGGGGGGCTAACGCACTGTGTGCACTTTGTCTGTTCTAGCGCCTTTGGCATTACTCTCTCTCCTCTTTTCTTTTATCTGGTCTCGTCATTTTTTTTCTTTTTTTTTTCCCCCTCTCTCCGTCTATCTTTCCGACTTGGCCCCACCCCCACCCAACTGAACGAAGCGCGCCTCTCCCGCGACGGCACCACCATCATATGGCTCAAGGCTTCGACCCTTCTCTCAGCCAACGAGCCCGAGATTTCCTGGGACGAGCCTGGGCCTTCGTCCGCGGCCAGCGGCGGGACAACGCCACCAACGGTCCTTTCATCGCCATCTCGCAGTGGGACGAGTTGGACGACGCCGCTTTGGTCGACGTCACCCAGAGCGTCGAGGCGGTGCTCTCCGTCGTCAAAGGCAAATCACGGTTTGACTCGCGGGCCACCGTGCGGGAACTCGATCTGGTGAACGAGCGACTGCAGAGGGACCGCCCAGTCGGTTTTCCTAGTGTGCAGGTGGTGCAGGACGCGTCCGAGGCGGGTCCAAACGACATCGTTATCCACCTCGACCGCCTCGTTGACGTAGTCAAGGAGACACGCCGGCAGGGCCGCCGCAACGCGGACGTCTACGAGGCGCTGCTCCAGCTGTTCGACGCGGAGCTTCCGTGGAGGCGGGACCGGCCTTCCATAGGCGAGCAGCTGCAGGAAGCCGAGCGGCGCCTGCGGCGGTTGGCTTCCTTCGAAGGGGCGCACATCTACGACCAGGTCACGGAGCGCGGATCACCGACGGCGACCGGGTCCCCTACACCGGCCGGCTCCTCCACAGCATCCCTGAGCACATCGACATCGGAGACCGCCTCGCTAGTCACACGGAGTGATTTGGAATCGTCGTTTATCGACGATTTCTCGTCAGGTTGGTCGTCCCCCATTTTTGCTTCGTCGCAGGGGTCAGAGCGCGCTCGGCCAGTCCGCCCGGCGCCCCCACCACCTGCAGGTGCCCAGCCGCACGAGCGGCCCGTGCGACAAGCCCCTGAAGTACCCCACCTTCGAGGACACGAGGACGAGCGGGAGGACGACGAGATGGTGCCCCCCCTGTGCTTCAACAAGTACGGTGACCTCGAGGATGGTGACCCGGAGGCGTTCCTGGAGTCCCAGGAGGCCCTCTGGGCTCTCTACCGAGTGCCCGCGGAGCACTTCATCACCCAGATGCAGCAGTGCGTGCGCGGCGCGGCAAAGGACTTCCTCGACGGCTTCATCCTCCGCTACGGCCGGGACCCGAACGGCTGGGAGCTGTTCCGGGACGAGTTTTTCCGGAGGTTCCGCCAGGGGAGGACCGAGGCGGACCGGTGGAAGGTAGCCAACGGGCGGGTGCAGCGGCCGGGTGAGTCCATTGAAGCTTACGCCATGGCTAAGGAGACCCTCTTGCGCAAGGCCAACCACGGCATGCGGGAAGCGGACATTGCGAACACCGTCGCTGACGGTTTCCGGCCCGAGATCGCCGGCCCCCTCCGGGCTTTGACTTTCCGTTCTATGGCCGATATGCTGGATGCGGCCCGAAAGGTCCAGGGGAGCCAGGTGCCAGCCTCGGAGAAGGGCGCGGCGACGGAGGGAGCAGCGGCCAGTTCGTCTGCCACCACCGAGGCGCAGCGCCTCGCCACCGAGATGCTGGGAGCTGTCCTGGAGAAGCTGACCATCGCTCCGGGGGCAATGGCCGCCCACGCCGTGGGTCCAGCCTGGAACAACCGCCCTCCTTCTCGGGACGCCTCGACCGACCGCAACAGGGGCCGCCAGTCCCGGGGTGAGGCTAACGTGCACTTTGAGGGTTCCAGCTTCAGCGGGGACCGCCGCAGCCGCCGCGACGGCACGCCGCATCCAGGGGGCCGGGACAGGAGCGCCTCCAGGGGTCATCAGGGCCCCGCTTGGCCGATGGGGGGCCCAGGGGCGTGGCCAGGCTGGCCAGGTTTCTGCACGCCGGCCCCGGGCATGTGGCCCCCGTTCAACACGTGGCCCATGGCGGGGCCATCGCCCCCCTGCCCTTGCCCGTACATGCACCAACCCATGGGGTGGGGCATGCCGACAGGGCAGTTTGGTCAGCAGTGGCAGGCCAAGGGCCCCGCCGCGGGTTGGCAACTAAGCCCGCCACAGGCAGGCCCAGCACCCGGCAACAGTGCTCCACCGAGTCAGCGCTCCCGCAGCAAGTCCAGGGAACGGGGCGCTTGTTTCAACTGCGGGTCGGCCGAGCATTTCCAAGCAAACTGCCCGGTCGCAAAAAACTAGGCAGCGGGCCCGCCGGGTCAGCGGGCATTGCACCCAGGCCCGGAAGGCCCTTGCCGGGCCGTGCACCGCGGCCGCCGGCCGCCTTCGCGGATCGCGCTGCACTTCTCCCTGCGTCAGCAACTGACACATCGCTGACGGCGGCGCAGCACGGGCATCGGCGTCGACCGGGCCCGGCCATTGTCGCAGTCAGCCTGCCCGGGTCTACAGTGCCCCTCCCACCCCAGCTCAAGGGACGCCAGGTGGCCACCCTTGCAGTGCACCTCGAGAGCTCTTCGGTGCCGGTCATCGCCCAGTTGGACTCAGGAAGCTCGGTGAACATCGTAGCGACGGCTCTCTACACTTCGTTGGGTAGGAAACATGGTGAGTGGCTGCCGCCCCCCTTCGGACTAAACACAGCCGGGGGGCGACCCCTCCGCGTCGCGGGTTGTGCCTATGTGCGAGTGCTTCTTCCTGGACATGTCTGCTCCATAAGAGTGTTTGTGGTCGACGATCTGGCCTTGCCTTTCATCCTAGGCCTTGAGTTTTTCCTTGAATTTGGTGTTGTGCTCAACTTCAAGACTCTGCAGGCGTCTCGCCAACTCGACGATGGCTCCTTGTCGCTGCTAGGCCCGCTCCTTTCCGCCCGTGTTCTCCAGTCGGTGCCGCGGGCTCTCTCCATCGGCGCGCGCGGCGGCCCGGTTCCAGTCTTCGCGACGCTCCAAGTGGCCGTCAGGGCCAGGACTACGTCCTTCGTGCCGTTCCGGATCGATGGCGCGCCCCTCGACAGCGACTGCGTGTTCATCCCCGACGACACGTTGGCGTCGGAGCTCCTCATGGCGGGCGCTGCGGTAGGACCGTCATCTAAGGTCATCCCGGTGTGCAACGCCAGGGAGCAAAGGTATGTGTTGGATCCGTCGCGGCCCCTGGGTTTTCTGTACCCCTTGGTGAAGCCAGCGACGGCCTGTGTGGCAACCCCGTGTGACTCCGCCCCCACCGCGCCTGCTCCGGACATCGTATTCAACGTCAACCCCGCCATGGATCCTACCGAGCGGCGGCGCCTGCTCGATCTCCTCCATTCGTACCGTGACTGTTTCGCCACGTCTCTGCAGGAGCTTCGGATAGCCAACGTCCCGGCTGTGGAGATCGCCCTACAGGACAACAAGGTCGTCCGGTCGCGGCCGTACCGGCTATCCCAGGCGGAGCGGGAGGCGCTGCGGGAGCAACTGGACGGCTTCCTGGAGCTCGGCATCGTGGAGCCCTCGACGAGCGCGTACTGCAGCCCCATCTGCTTCGTCAAGAAGGCAGACACAGGCAAGCTACGCATGATCCAAGACCTGCGCCGGGTGAACAAGCTGATCGCCGACGTGTCCTGGCCGATACCGCGTATCGACGAGGTGATTGACAAGTTTGCAGGGGCGACATACCTGGCGTCCATTGACCTCAAGGTTGCGTTCCAACAGATCCCTCTCCAGCCGGGCTTGTCCAGGGACATCTTCGCGTTCGAGTGTGAGTTCGGGAAGTACACCTGGGCGACGCTCCCTCAAGGTATGAAAAATTCGCCATTCTATCTGGCGTTGGCCATGTACAGGGTGTATGGCCCGCTCTTGCACCCGGGTAGTGCCCAGCTGGCCGAGGGCGAGCGAGCCTCGCAGTACGCCTCCAATTTCTCCATGTACTTTGACGACTGCAATTTCCACAGTAAGTGTTTTGAGGATTTCTTTAACACCATCAAAGAATTCTTGCAGTTGTCTCGGGCGGGCAGGATCAC